AGTCCACAAAGAAGAGTGGTAAGAAGTGAAGCGGCTTGGAATTAATGAGTCCAATAGAAAAACAGCAAATGTGAACATCAGTCACCATGACTCTCAGACCAGAAGGACTAGATGGTGCCTGGATGCTCCTACCCATTCCCCTGAAAGGGGTCACACTAGAGAGTCCTGGATAGAGTGGGAGGAAATGTGGAACAAAACTTAAAATTATTTAATGATAATAATAGCAAAAGATCAGGCCTACTGATCAGAAAGACACTGGGGGAACCAGAGATTATGGCTCTTGACCTCCCTTCAAGTCTGGAAAGGAACCCACCACCCCTATGGCCCTATTTTCAGCCAAGCAATAGATAGGTTTCTCGAGGGGGACAACAACATTGACAAGGTATGCTCACCATAAAATGGTCAGTCACTCAAAATCAAAAGGACAACATTTACCTAAGGACAACGTTGAGAAGGGATAGGATGGGTAGAATGCAAATAGGAACCACAGGGAGAAAACATGCAGGGGATTTTATTCGTTGAGATGAAACAAAGTATATAATTTGTTGAATGTGAAGTTCATTACCTTGTCTATAAACCTTTGCTCAATTCATAATAAAAAGTTTAAAAAATGAAAAGAAAGTTGTGTTTGATTATGACAATTCTTGTATGTACTGTTGCATGGAGTGAGGTGTATTTGTCATTAGGAAAGGGATAGGAAGAAAGAACTCTACATTCCAGATCTGCCACTGCATAGCTTTGTGGCAATGGACAATTAACTTACTTTTTGTAAACCTCAGTTTTCTCATCTGAAACGTCACACCATGGTGGAGAGAATTAACTTTAACAAGAGAAGCTACTAAAAGGGTGTTGTAGCTTATGCTTTCTATCCACCTATAAAATCTTAGGTGAATGTCAGGGTTATGAGTCGAGGGAATCACTAACAACTTGTGTTTGCTTGTTTGTTTCACTCCTAGACTGCCTCTTCAAGCTATGTCCCATGAACCGCTACTCTGCCCAGAAGCAGTTTTGGAAAGCTGCAAAGCCGGGGGCCAACAGTACCACAGACACGGTGCTACTCAACAAGTTACACGTAAGTTCTGGACGGGCTGTTGGTGCTGAGGGTCTTGAGAGTGGCCACATGGGCAGTGTCTGAGTGTAAGGGTGGGGAGACTAGTACATTTCCAGTTTCGGTTCCAGTTTCCTTATGTTCACTGGTAAAGTGGTAAAAGGGAAATGACCCCAAAGAGAGTTGAATCCTAGTCATCTTGAGGTGACATGGGGGTTGTGTTTTTCTCAGCCATAACTTTAGGGGGAGGCACGAGGGAATGTGTATTAGCCACAAACACAAGTGCTGGAAGCACACTCTTGAGATTTTCATCCTGGCTCCCCGACTCACTAACTGGTCATCTTGGGCAAGCTACTTCCCTATTTTGTTCCTCTGTTACCTTAATCTGTAAAATGGGTATGGTGCTCAGACCCTTCTTAGGAACTTTTTGAGAGGATTCCATGAAATGAAACATAAATGTAGATGAATGGTCCCTAGCAAATACTAAGTACTTAATAAATGTTATCTTCTACCATTGTATTTCTCTTGGTATACCAGCGATATGCTTGTTCCATTGCTGGTTTGCTGTTTAACCACAGGCAGCTGTTGGAACCTCTCTGAGCCCAGTTCTCCATCTGTTCAATGCTGCCAATTCTTCTAATTAGCCTACACCACGAGAAGAATCTGTGTAGTACTCTGCGATGCTTAGAACATTAAAAAAAAAAAAAAAAAAAAAGTTAATTGCCACCTATTTCCCTATCCTGCTTTATTTTTCTCCATGTGATTTGTCATGATTTTTCTAATTTGTTTTATTTGCTGTCTTTCCCAACTACAATGCAAGCTACAT